GCCTTCTCTGCAGAGGGAGCCTATCCACACCCCCAGGCCTTCTCTGCAGAGGGAGCCTATCCACACCCCCAGGCCTTCTCTGCAGAGAGAGCCTGTGTCCCCCACCCCAGGCCTTCTCTGCAGAGAGAGCCTGTCCCCCTCTGCCAGGCCTTCTCTGCAGAGGGAGCCTGTCCCCCGCCCCAGGCCTTCTCTGCAGAGGGAGCCTGCCCCCGCCCCCCCTAGGCCTTCTCTGCAGAGGGAGCTGGTCACGGGGTTTGATTCTGGAGAGCTGGTGTTGGAGTCCAGTCTACTAAAACAACATTTTATCCTACTAGTGAACTCACCAGTTACAATGATGAACCTAAGTGAGCTGCCACAGCCCTCGTATTTATCTGAGGAAGAAACTGTGCCTGATGAAGATGCCATTAATTCCCAGGATCAAAAGGGGTTGTTAAAAGAAAAGGCAGTCTTTTTCCTGCCTGTTGAGAAGCTAGACCTGAGTGAACTGAGAAAGTCCACCGATTCCTCGGAAGACTGGCCGGGTGAGGAAGAAATCAAGCGCTTCTGGAAGCTGAGGCAGGAGATCGTTGAGCATGAACAAGCAGAAGTGCTTGAAAACCAGCTCTTAGCGATGGAATTGCCTCCAAATCTCAGGGCAGCATTAAACATGAAGGAGAAAGAACATTCCAGCCCAAGACATGTGCTCAGGTGAGATTTAGAAGCCATGCTGTATTTCCTTGATCTTTCCAAAGTTGTAATATTATTTTGCAGTTATCTTTTCAGACGTCAGGCTGTGTCTGGCTGGCTTTTATGGTGCAGTGCATGCTAAGCCTGGTTAGGATTGTGGTTGCCCAGAGCATGGACCCCACGGGGGAGATTACGCAAGAGAAAAACAAGCCCTGTGTGTGTGTGTGTGTGTGCACGCACGTGTCTGTGGACATCGATGCAAAGACAATACTTACTGGTGAATACAGATTGTACGTTCACAGGGGGGTGAAGCCATTCCAGGGGGACAGGAATTGGCCCCTGGGGGTGCACAGAAGCCTCGTGGTTACTCTGGTTCCCGGCACTGCACAGCTCAGCTCTGTGGATGGCAGAGACACGTGTCCAGAGTGTCTGTGGGGGTCCAGCTTCGTGGAGGGGCTGTTTGGAGGAGTAAGTCTGAGAGGCCAGGGGCCGGGCCATACTGAGAAGCAGATGGAAACCTTGCATTTACCGCATGAAAGGTGTTCAGGGGTTTATTATACTGTTATTTCACCTGTTCCAAGGCTTGGAAATTCTGTAAAGTCTGATTAGTGGATGATAACCTTGGAAGTAGCGGAGGCACAGAAGGCAGGTGCCCGGCCGTGACGTGGCCTTGACATTCTGTGCCCGGCCTGTTTCACGCCTGCCGTGCAGAAACCCCTCCCTCCCTGCCCTTCCTCAGTTGGGTCTCCTCCTGAACAGGGACGGGAGCTTGTCCTGCTGTGTGCTGGCCGGCCTGTCCCGAGCTCCCTGCGAGGCCACTCGTGTTTCGGCCTCGGAGTGAGCCTGCAGCCCTTGGAGCAGGAGCCCCGGGCTGTGGGGCCCTGGGAGGGCACCTCTGTCGTGCCGTCTGTCCCCGTTGGCCCTGCTTGTACATGTTGCGTGTTGTGTTCTAGCGTGGGCCATCCCAGGGTGAGTGTGCATCGCAGGGGCTGTGATTGTAGAAGGAAGAGGCCCTCCATCAGGAGCGTCCTGCCTGCCCTGGTACCATCGCAGCTCGCGGGGCTCCCCCCCAGGAGGCCCCAGGAGAGCAGGGCTGTGGCCATCCGGGAGCACTGGGAGAAGCAGGTGGTGATGGAGCAGCGGAGACGGTGAGTGCTCATCAGCAGGGCTGCGTCAAGGCCTGCCGGACACCCCTGCTCGCACGGGCATCTGGGGCCAGGCCTGCTGGCTGTGACTTTTCTGGGGAAGGGTCAGTTTTTGCTCTTCGTCCTGCTTGGTCTCGGGCAGGTGTGGGCACAGGCCTCAGGCCGTCATTGCTCCATGTCCTCTCCACCCCGCCTGCCTTCTTTCCTGTCTTTTTCTCTGATTTCTTACTCTTTCTTAACCCCCCTTCCCCTCCTTCTAATCACCTGGCTCACAGGTCTTTTCTAAGGAAAGGTATGCGCTGCAGACGTGCACACAGAGACAGTTCACTCTTGCCCCGCCTCGTTGGCCGTGTCGCTGGCTGTGGCGGCTTCGGTCTGCCCCCCAGGAGCCTGGCTGGGGCCTGTCCTCACGGCCGCCTCTGTCCTCCAGCTCCGCCGACCACCTGTCTCCATTGTGCTCTGGGCCCCGGGAGGCTGTCCAGCATGGACTGCATCCACAGCACCCCAGTGCCCCTCTCCTTCTGGCTGGGTTTGGCCAGTGGGGGGCCCCAGCAGGAGGTTGGAGAGGAGGTGGAGAGGGAGGGCAGGGTCTTTATCCCCCCCATGCCTCCCTGTGAATCTGCCTGGGTCCCTCCTCCTGGGGCTTGGGGTGGCTGCAGCCCCTGCCCCAGCCCCGGGCCCCTGCTCTGTCCCTGGGGGCCGTCCGCCACTGCCCATGTGAATAAACCTCCTCCATCCTGAAATCATCCCGTGTGAGTGTATTTTCTCTGAGGACCCTGATGGGGACAGACTTGCTGGCAAACGCAACATGTCAGTGGTGCACCTGCCTCGTCCCCACACCAGACATGCTGTCCAGTGGGGTCCGGTCCCTTCTGTGAAAGGAGGGACAGCTTAGGCCCTCAGAACTGTCAGGGCTCACAATGTTCCCAGCCCTGGGCTGTCATCCGCATGGCAGGGATGCATCCCACGTGTGGCTGGCACTTGGGGGTGTGCTCTGGGCTGCACCTGGAGTCCTGGCCATCCGGGCAGGGTCATGCAGGTCATTGGCCACAGGTGCCAGGCAGCCAGTCAGCCTGAGCTCAGGCCATCCCCCCGAGGAGCCCCGAAGAGGCCCTTGGCTGGAGTGCAGGCTCCAGGGCGGGCGGTCCTTCTGCTGCTTCTCCACAAGCCCAGGTGGCTTCACAGGGCACATCAGCGTCTGAGCTAGTGATGGAGCCCTTCTGGGGCAAAGGCATAGGCTTGACCCTGCCCGCGGGGGGCACCTGGGCTTGCCTCTCACTGTGATGCACCCTTTCCTTGCTGCAGGCGGGTCCCCCTTCTCCCTCACTTCGGCCCCTTTCTTTTTTTTTTTTAAGATTTTTGTTTATTTATTTGACAGAGAGACACACAGCGAGAGAGGGAACACAGGCAGGGGGAGTGGGGGAGGGAGAAGCAGGCCTCCCGCAGAGCAGGGAGCCCGATG